AAGATCAGAAGACTGACTGCGTCGCCGTCGGCGTGAAACACGTCTTCTGGTAGGCATAGGTTTGGATCTAATCGGAGTACCTGATGCGGCTGAAGATGTAGGTGCGGCTGACGACGAAGCAGCATTGGACACCAAAGGAGATTCAGACACACGATGCGCCAAGCTTGCAAGTGGCACTGGGGGTGGAAAGACAGGAGCACTGGCACTGGGCGGGGGGAAGAAGGGAGGGGGAAGAGGGGGAGGGAGGGGAGGAGGGGGAAGAGGGGGAGGGCCAGGGGGAGGGGGGGAGGGAGGTGCAGAACTGGACGAAGGGTTGTCGCTGCCTGCACTCGGTGTACTCCTCGATATTGGCAGAGAGGATGGCGGTGCATAGGGGTGGGATCTGGACGAACGTGATCCTGAAGCTCCGCTACTGCTAGGGCGTTCTTCACGCAGGTTTGCTCTATCCCTCTCATCCAAGCGACGCAACTCTTGCTGCAGCATTCTTTCTGTCCCGTCACGCACAAAAGCTGTCAACTGAAGTACGAGAGCTTGCCGAAGTTGTGGTCGTGATACAAAGTTGAGCAATCTCACACGCGCTGAATGGGTGAGCGCTCTCAGGAACTCATCAATGTTAGGATCCGAAGGTGGCACCGTCGGCATGCTTGCTTACTCAGATAGTCTGGTTTCTTGGCCGAAAACACTGCGATACACAGCACTAGCACTTGCTTGCACGTCACTTGCACGTCACTTGCACATCCCTTGCACGTCCCTCGCACATCACTCGCACGTCCCTTGCACATCCCTTGCTGCTCACGTTTCACTCTGCTTGGACGAAGAACTCGTACTCCAGGACACGGGGGCACAACTCTTGCTCTGGTAGTTTTTCAGCAAGTGACATGTAATCCTGTACACTCCCGGTGACCAAATCAAAAAGAATCAAACGTTTCGGTTGGGACACTGTGCAACATACCAAAAATGGCAAGCACAGCGGAGGTTAGCTCTGATCAGCATTTTTGCACAAGCTTTTAACCGTGCTGCAGGATTTCGGTGAAACTGCATCGGATCCCCAAGCGTGATATCACTTGCTTCAGAAGGAACAGGTGAACGCTCACGTTTGTCCTTCTTAGACTTCATGGACTTCGGAGACTTATTTGGTAACCGGTCCTTTTTCACCCTCTTTGACTTCTTGGACTTCTTGGTCTTCTTGCACTTGTTGGAGGACTTCTTAACCCAAGACGCCACCTCTGTGGGTGCCGAGTCTTTGGGAGGATCGAAAGCCGAAGACCAGGAACTGGCATCATCAGGGAGATCGTCATATGGTACCCCATTGTCTTGACGGGAAGCCATATCGGTGTACCGAAAAAACAAGACGGAAACGGCTGGCGGCATCACATGAGTGAACAAGAAAGACTCCTTCGGCTTCCCGAGAGACAGAGAGAGAGAGGAGAGAGGAATGACAGAAAAGGCATACAACCGCGCGTAATGCTCCTACGCGCTGTTTTTCAGTGCGCAAAGACGGTTCCACTTCAGCGGTGCAGGCGCTCTAATCCAGGAATGATGATTGTCCCAAAACTGTCAATTGGGAAAACGAATTAAGCAGACAAGTCGTCCGCTGTTCCAACATGATAAATGCTCTTACGGTGATGCATCTCGCTTGCGTTTTCGGGGTGACAAAGAATTAGCGCTCTCAGTAGGGATGTTCAAGTCCACCGAAGAAGTCGTCTGAGAAGTTCGGTGCCACTGATTGTCAGCAGCCAGACGATCCGATATCCAGCGAGAAGTGGCGGGAAACCAAGATTTCCACCACGTTTCATTGCCATTGGGTCCTTGATTTTTCACCCAATAAAATCGCCACGAAACAGTCGGAGAACGCGATCGGGATCGATCCGACATGGCGTGTACCGCTGAAAGCCGAATGCTGGAACTGAGCGAGGCAATTAAAAGATCTTAAGCGGGCACATTGCATGCAAGGCGCTGCCTCGAATCACTTGCACTGCACTTGCACAACCCTCGCATACCCTTGCATATCACTTGCAGTTCACTTGCACGTCACTTGCACAAAACTCGCATACCCTTGCATATCACTTGCAGCCCACTTG